AAGTTCGAGGGAAGGGGATAGACACCTAGTTGCTTTTAAAGAGAGCAGCTCAGAAGTCTGACACCTTCACTTCGATTCATTCACAAAACTGAGTCAGTTGGCCAGGTTGACCGCAGAGAAAGTTTGGGAATGTGTCTTAGACCTGGATAGATGAAGCCACAGGTAGAGCTGCAGGTCTGCAATCCCAGCTACTGGAGAGGATGAGGCAGGAGGATTGTTTGAGCTCTGGAGTTGAAGACCAGTCTGGGCAATACAGTAAGATCCCATCTCAAAATAAATAATCAACAAAAAATTGAGCTAGCCAGAAATTGTGAGTTCTAGGGCTAGGGAGATGGCTCAGTGGATGAAGTACTTGCCTTGCAAGTGTGAAGATTAGAATGTGAATTCCCAAGACCCCACATAAAGCCAGGAGTGAAAGTCTATAACCTCAGCACTCCTGTGGTGAGACAGGAGGCAGAGATGAGGATCCTCGGGAAGTCCAGGATATGTAGCAGTGAACAAGAGACCTTTTATCAAACAAGCAACACTCAACATTGCCCTTTGACCTCTACATTCACTCAATGACACATTGTACTCACACTGAATAACATCTCTTACACACACACACACACACACACATGCACGTATGATAAAATAATTGAGGGGCCTATTACTAAGAAGAAGAAGAAGAAGAAGAAGAAGACTAATTTGAGACATAGCTAAAAAGATAGCTAGGGTCTAAAGAATGAGTAAAAATTCCCTAGATTTATGGTTCTCGACAGGTGAGTGTGGCCCGTGGACCCCCAGCATGCCCTGATACCCTCCAGAGGGTCTTAAAGGGCAAGGTAGTTTCATAAAAGTGATGCTGTGTTGCATCCCAGCGAGGCTGCAAAAGCTTCCTGCGGGGAAACTGCTGCCTTAGCACAAAGCAAAGTATTGGCACAATAATGTACCACGGTCCTCTATTGCCAGACACTTGTAATTTAAGGCCATGCCCTGTTTTTTAACTGAAGAATGTCTTTGATGAAACAATAAAATTTAATTTTATTAAAATGAAACCCTTGGGAACACCGTGTTATGAAGCAAGAAGAGGCAGGGAACATTTGTAGGTAAAGTTGAGATGGTTGAACTTATATCCATTGTGGGTGTTACAAGCCTCAAAGATCCATCCGCCTCTGCCTTCCAAGTGCTGGGATTAAAGGCCTGCACCACCAATGCCCGGCATTATTACTCTTAATAATTAATTTATTTTAGCAGCCAGTACTCTTAACTGCTGAACTATCTGTCCAGTCCCTTACTGTAATTAAAGTTAATATGCAAATTGATGAGTTTCATTATAGCATTTTCATACATATACGTCATTATACTTTGTTCTTATCTTATTCTTCCCCCTTCCCTGTGCCCGGCTTGTTGCAGTAGCCACTTTTTTTTTTTTTCCAGTTTTTTTTTCCCTTAATGTGTGCGTCTGTGCATCTTGTGTGTACTTGGTACCTGAGCAGGCTAGAAGATGGGGCAGACTCCTGAAGCTGGAAGTACAGTTGCGAGCCACCAGGTGGGTGCTGGGAATTGCACGTGGGTCCTCTGGAAGAGCAGCCAGTGTTCTTAACCACAGAGCCATGTCTTCAGGCCTGGCATCAGCTGCTTTTTTAGAGCACGGGAAGGGCCAGATCACATGTGCAGCATTTAGTGATCACTCTGACTGCTGTGCGGAGCATGACCTGGAGGAAGGCAGAAGAGACAGCACCAGTCCAGTCATGGGTATCAAACAGACCTGGAAAGAAAGGGATGGTAGCTGGGCAGTGGTGGCGCACGCCTGTAATCCCAGCACTTGGGAGGCAGAGGCGGGTGGACATATGTGAGTTCAAGGCCAGCCTGCTCTATAGAGGGAGTTCCAGGACAGGCTCCAAAGCTACACAGGGAAATCCTGTCTCAACCCCCCCCCACACACACACACAAAAGAAAGAAAGAAAAGAAAAGTAGACAGACACCCAAGACTCTGGTTTCACTTCAAGAATGAACATTTTTACTGGGCATGGTGGCGCATGCCTTTAATCCCAGGGTTTGGGAGGTAGAGGCAGGCAGATCTCTTCATTACTATGAAGAGACACCATGCCCAAGGCAACTCTTATGAGGGGACCTGCTTACAGTTTCAGAGGATTAGTCCATTATCATCATAGTGGGGAGCATGTTGCTGGAGTAGTAGCTGACATCTACATCCTGGTCTGTAGGAAGAGAAAGAGAGACTGGGCCTGGCATGGGCTTTATGGGCTGTTGATGCCTCAAAGCCCCCCCCCCAGTGACACACTTCCTCCAGGAAGGCCCTCTCTCTCTCTCCCTCTCTCTCCCTCTCCCTCTCTCCCTCTCTCTCCCAATCTCTCCCTCTCTCTCTCTCTCCCTCTCTCTCCCTCCCTCTCTCTCCCTCTCTCTCCCTCTCCCTCTCTCTCCCCCTCTCTCCCTCTCTCTCTCTCTCTCTCTCTCTCTCTCTCCCTCTCTCTCTCTCTCTCTCTCTCTCTCTCCCTCTCCCTCCCTCTCTCTCCCTCTCCCTCTCTCTCCCTCTCCTCCCTCTCTCTCTCTCTCCCTCTCTCCCTCCCTCCCTCTGCTCCCTCTCTCCTCCCTCTCTCCCTCTCTCTCCCTCTCTCTCTCTCCCCCTCCCCCTCTCCCTCTCTCCCCTCCCTCTGTCTCCCTCTCTCCCTCCCTCTCTCTCCCTCTCTCTCCCTCTCTCCCCCCTCTCTCTCCCTCCCCTCTCTCCTCCCTCTCCCTCTCTCCCTCCCTCTCCTCTCTCTCTCTCTCCCTCCCTCTCTCTCCCTCTCTCTCCCTCTCTCCCCCCTCTCTCTCCTTCTCTCTCTCCCTTTCTCCCTCTCTCTCCCTCTCTCTCTCCATTTCTCTCTCTCTCTCTCTCTCTCTCTCTCTGGTTTTTCAAGACAAGGTTTCTTTGTGTAACAGCCCTGGCTGTCTTGTAACTCACTCTGTAGACCAGGCTGACCTCAAACTCACAGAGATCCCCCTGCCTCTGCCTCCCAAGTACTGGGATCAAAGGCTGCACCACCATAGGTTCATGTATTTGAATGCTTAGTCACCAGGGAGCAGCACTATTTGAAAGGATTAGAAGGGTTAAGAGGTGTGCCGTTCACACTCCATCACGTTACGGCAAACATGCACGTGGAGATATTCAGAGGGAAGACGGGTGTCTACCTGCAGAACTAGGAGAGATCTGGGCTAGATCAAATATGTGAAATGTTGAAGGGGGCAGGCAAGCACGATGACCTAAGCATTGGCTTCAGACTCCATTTCACCTGCAGGGTGAAATAAAGTTCACATTCCCAAGCCCTTGGGGAGCTGAGAACTTTCCAATGGCTGATCAACTGCCTCCTTAAACCATGAGTGTGTCGTTATGCATCTTTAGTTCTCTAGAAACAAGGCTGTTCTTAACAACAGAAGGAATAAATGAATCTGGTTGGTTGCACATCAGTTGACAATGACAGAACACACAGGAACGGTACTAATCTTTGCTTTCTGATTAGTGAAAATTGTAACTGTAACTTGGCAATGTATGTTTGTAGATTTTATGCTTATAAAACCGGCTTGTGCCCCTGCTGGAGCTGTCAGGAGAAGCAAGGCTCCCAAGTCCTTGTCCTGCAGCCCTGATGGACAGTGACCCTCTTATGGGATAATTTAATAAAATATTTGGAACCCATAAATGTTGTCTCACTCCTCCTTCTTGTGCATAATGGGTTAGGTGTAACGGTGTTAGTAACAGTGTGCTCCGTGCTCACTTCTGTCCTCCCAGACATCCGCAGTGTGCTCCATGCTTACTCTTGTCCTCCCAGACATCCGCAGTGTGCTCCATGCTCACTCTCATCCTCCCAGAGATCTACAGTGTGCTCCATGCTCACTCCTGTCCTCCCAGACATCTGCAGTGTGCTCCATGCTCACTCCTGTCCTCCCAGAGATCCCCAGTGTGCTCCATGCTCACTCCTGTCCTCCCAGACATCTGCAGTGTGCTCCATGCTCACTCCTGTCCTCCCAGACATCTGCAGTGTGCTCCATGCTCACTCCTGTCCTCCCAGACATCCGCAGTGTGCTCCATGCTCACTCTTGTCCTCCCAGAGACCCGCAGTGTGCTCCATGCTCACTCCCGTCCTCCCAGACATCCGCAGTGTGCTCCATGCTCACTCCTGTCCTCCCAGACATCCACGTTTCAGCCCAGGCCTTCTCTGCCACAGTGGGCCAGATACACAGCCACTACTTTTCAAAGAAGAAACCATACTGCACAGATATACTCAGTCGTGTGGAACAAGACTCCATCCCTTTGTGGGATCGACACAGCTACTCTCAAATTGTCACTGAAGGAATAAGGGCTGTGTTTGCCCAAATGCAGTGACCCTACTCTTCCTGTAAGAGAGGCCATGCAGTCTAAATGGCTTATCCATACCTATTTCATAGAGGAGACACACAGAATCCTCATTGTGGAGTGAGGTAAAACCAGACCAGTACTGTGTTAGCTGCTATGGAGCCACAATGGCCCTTGCTTTTCGCTTCCCCCCTCTAGGCTCTTTACCATCTCTTAACAGCCAACTTAGTAGGTTTGCTGAGCAATGTAATCTCATCTAAATTTTCCACTGATTACTTTGTGTGTGTGTGTGTGTGTGTGTGTGTGGATGGGGAGGGCCTTGAATTTGTGATTTTTCTGCTGTAGTCTCCCAAGTGCTGAGGTTATAGTTATGTGCCTTATGCCCCTGGGCCTCATGCCCTTGAACCTAGTTGTGCCAGCCTTTTTCTTGCCCCTAAACAGACAACAGTGACATTCAGGTTAGCCTGATTCTGCTTAGCTATTTCCAATGACTCTGGCAGTTTTAATTTGTCAGTTTCCCCAACAGCTGGAGGTGGAAGGGAGGGACTCCAGAGGGCTGGCCCACGCCTGGCGTGTAGAGGAGTCTCGCTACCAGGCTTCCTGTTTCTTCACTCACAAAGATCTGTGAAGACATAGCAAAGCTCTCTTCCTCACTAGGCTCGCACCCTCTCACAGACACACCTGTGCACGAAGCAGAGTAAAGAAGGGCTGGCCAGAGGTAAGGGGTGTGCTCGACTTGACTTCATTCTTTCAAGGGGCTGGACCGGGGAGCTAACATGGCACACGCGCCCCAGAATGTCCTGGACGCGGCTCCGTGTTCCTAGCTGTGTTCTCTCAGAACAGGTTGGGAATAGCGATCTCCCACCGGAACCATAGCTTCAAAAGGTAAGCCACACTCAGCTTTGCCTGCCTACCCAGCTGGTACAGAGCTCAGAGCAGAGGATGTGCTGGGAAGTACCCTGAGCCGAAAGCACCGCACGCACCGTCAGAGAGGCAATGGCCGAGAGAGGCAGCAGAGCAGCTGGGCAGGGGGCAATGGTGGAGAGCGACGCTGGGCAGAGAGGAGAGGCAGAACCATTACAGAGAGGAGGGGAGCCCAGACAGAATGAACAGGTGTTGAGCACGGAGGAGGCATAAGAAATGAAATGAGAAAGAGAAAACGGGGGGGGGGCACACAGTTTTTCCAAAGTCTTCACCAAGGATCATACCATCAAGAACAACTTAAACCATGTGATCTCTGTAGACTCTCTCAACTCCTTGGTGCCCATGCGAGCTCTGTAACTCTTGTCTTCTGCGAAGTTTTTGGAGCTTGGCTTGAATTTTGTTTTTGAGATCTCGCTGTGTGCCTGGGCTGGCCTTAATAGCCTGGGCTCTTTTGTCTCAGCCTCCCCAGTAGCTGGGACCAAGGCACATGCCACAATGCCTCGGCTGAGATTTTAGGGTTGTTTTTGAAATGTTGAAGGGAACTCTGTTGTAGTTAGCCTGAGCTAGGAAATGGGGTAGTGAGACCCTCAGAAAGTGTTAAGTAACACTCCACCTCTGGAGTGCTGTAAATGGATACATGTTTTGGTAGACACTCAGTCAGAACAGTTGATTGATTCTAAGAGAATTGGTCTTGGCTATAGGCCCTGGTGTTCTTGGCGGCACCTGGGCATGAAGAAGGACTCTGCTTTTCAAGACGGGGTGAGCTCTCCAATCCTAGGCCTCTGCCTCTGCACCCTCAAACCTTCCCCATCTCGTAGCGTCACGTGGTCCTGAAGTGATGCTGTGCCCCCGAATGTCCTTCCGTTCATGGACTGATCCCCACAGAGAGGCCCCCCGAGGTTCAGTCTGATCCTTCAAAATAGAAAGGCTCCATTTTGATCATTCAAAGACTCTACTGGGTGAAATTGCACTTTCCCAATGTCCTAGTCTTGTAGGGCACGGTGGAGTTCCTGCTGTTGTTGTTTGTTTTGACAGACAAGGCCAGGAGAAGAGCCTGATGAGGGAGACCACCGGAATTTCTCCTGATGACTTCTGGTGCTGTCTTAGATTCTGTAGGTTGATACAAAATGGCGGCCCTATACAGCTAATGGGAGAGCCAGACACTCAGGAACCATGTTCCCTTTTCAATCTTGGCACTCACAGAAGAGGCCTGCCTCTAATCACAAATTCAACCCCACCATCACCGAGTTCTAGACAGAGACTCGAAGTGGCCTTGTGTCTTGCTGCTCTTGGCCATAGAGGCGCAGTGGCTGGTGTTGGGTGCCCAGGGCTGGCACATTTTAGACAGTAAACATCGGCTGAATTCAATAATTTGGAAGGAGATGGGGAAGGAGACAGGGTGAGGAGGATGGAGATGGGTTGCGTCTCTAGGGTGAATGCTGAGTGTGCTGCTTACAGCTCTGCGTCGGCTTTTCAGAGGCCAGGAAAGAGGGGGTACAGAACCCCCGCCCACCCCGCCCACCCTCCAGCATGTGGGCATCTGAGGCAAAGGAGAGGGTGGCAGAGGTTGCAGCCACTGAACCACAAGGGTCGCTTAGAGGGTCACAGCTCTAGGAAGTTTATACGAAGCCAGTCAGAGTTGAAGGGTGTGTGGTGGGAGGCACATCCCACGACTGGGCTAGAGTGGGCTGACTGGGGGCCGGGAGGGGAAGATAAAAGTGTCTGTGGGACCACAGACTGTCGCTGTGGTGGAGCTGTACCGGGACTGTGCCCTTCCATCTCTGGGGAACCTGTGAGCGTGGCAGGAACCTCAATCGCCGTGAAAGGTGTGTTGTGTGCACTGCTGTTGTGATAACGTCCCTTGTGTGGCCCCTCTGTCTCTTTTGTGTTCCCTGCATGCATCTCATTCCCCAGAGCCCTTCGTTTCTATACCTCGCCTCCATCATTTCTGACAGGGCCTCTGCACTTTGTGTGTTGGTGGATCCTGGGAAGGGTGGCCGTTGCTTTAATGACCTTTCTGAGTCCCTTTCTCCTTCTCTCCTGTCTTCCCTGGAGGCCTCTGTATTTTGTTTTGTTTCCAGAAAAATCTGTCTACTGTTCTTTGTCCACTGTGTCTCTCCTCCTCTGCAGCCAATTCCTTTCGAAACCACCCTTGGGTCCAACCCATACTCTGAAACTTCATATCAGGTCAAAGCTTGTGGAAGATCTGCCGGCCTGCAGGGAGCCAGGTTGCTTGTTTGCAGGGCAGAAAGAACTAGATCTTAGTGGCATCTAGAGAGGGGGAAGAAGTGACAGGGGAACTCCAAGAGGAAGAGAACAGTGGTGGCTACAGCCCAGAGGAAGCCACCCCAGGAGCCTAGGACTAAAGCATGAGCATGGAAAGGAAAGCTTCAGAAACCCAGATGTAAGCAGAGCGCGGGGGAGGGGGATGTTGCAGCCAGCCAGTCCTTGCAGCTTCTCCCAGGGGTGATGCACACAGGATGCTAATGCGTATGAGGTAGAGCGCCTCTGGGGAGGCTGAGGATGTGGGAATCAAAGGCCAGGTCTCTGGGGCGGTAGCGGAAGCCTAAAGCACCAAAGTAAGCTGTGGCTGGAAACCCACAAAGCCCAGGGTGCATTGGGGTGATGCCAGGAGCTGGAGACAGTGATAGCACTCTGCAGAATCTTGGAGTGAGGGGGAGAAAGTGGCTACCATCTGGGGAAGAGCCAGGGATGCCCTTATTTCTCAAGCATCTTTACCAGGACAAGTGGAATTCAGATCCCACAGAGGGAAAGCTGGTATAGAGACTTTGTTTCTCTGTTAACATCTGCTCAAAAAGGTTTTTCATCTGGGTTGGGGGTGGGGGTAGGAAGCTTTTCAGGGCTAGGCTGCCCCTATAGCTCTTGCCACCACACCCTTCCCTTAGATGCTCTGCAGGTCCCTCCCCAGACTAACAGAGCCAACTTTGTAAGCACCCTTCACGACTGTAGTGACTGGTTTCACACCCACCTTTTCCAGAAACCTCTTTGGACAACTTCTCTTTCTAGCTCCCTGTTTTTTGTTTTGTTTTAAGATTTGTTTATTTATTATGTACACAGTGTTCTGTCTGCATGTATCCCTGCAGGCCAGAGGAGACACCAGATCTCATAACAGGTGGTTGTGAACCACCTTGTGGTTGCTGGGAATTGATCTCAGGACCTCTGGAAGAGCAGCTACTGTTCTTAACCGCTGAGCAATCTCTCCAGCTCCTCTAGCTCCCTGTTTTAAACAAAATTTAGTGTGTGTGTGTGAGTGAGAGAGAGATAGAGAGAGAGATTTTTGTCTATCCATCTGAAGCATCTATTGTTTTAGGTTCTGGAAAATTTCTCTTTCAGCCAGTAGAGGAACTGGACAGGGCTATTTCTTAGCTTCCCCTAAACCATATTGTTGGCTCAGCCTACAGCACCTCCTCTGAGTGCTACAGCCCTGTCAAGAATTGTGGTTTGCAGTTGGGGTGGTCCAGTGGGTAAACGTGCAAGTGTCCTGACCCGAGTTCAATCCCCAGCACCATAGGAAGTTGGAAGGAAAGAGCTGGCTGAGCAGGGTCCTCTGACGCTCTCTCTTCCTCCTTCTGCTCTCTCTAACACAATAATAATTTAAAAACTTATCTATTAGAGCCCATCAGGAAACCTACCTCAGATGGTTCAGGAGCTGTGTAGAAAGGGAGTTATTACAGAGTCAGGGACAAGAATCAGGGGACCAACCATTAGCTGAGGGGCACAGACACTTGCAACAGCAGCAAGGTGCTAAAAAGGGCAAGAACGGCCCTTCTGGAAGCAGAAAGAGCCTGAATTGTGGATGAGGGGGTTACAGACAGCCGATCATTGCAGGGCAGAGGGACACACACAGCTATTGGTGCTGGACACATGGAGCATGGAGAGAGAGTAGGGAAACATACTCCTGTCTCCTTTTGGCATTTCCCATTGGCAGCTCCAAGTGATCCCTAAGGGCCAGGAAGCCTCTAGGCCACAGTCATGGCAGCCAGACCCTTTGGTGGCGTTAGGCACAGACAATGGGGACGAATAAGCTGCATGGATGGGGAGGGCTTGGTTCCATCCCGGCCAGGGCTGGGTGTGCATGCACACTCAGTGACTGGCCTTCCTCCTCGGGTTCCCTCTCTCCTCCGCCCTCCCTTCCTCATGGCTATTGTTTTGTAGCAACGGAGGATGGAGCCCAGGACATGTTGAGCAAACCCTGTACCACTGAGCTACATCCCCAGCCATCAGTGGCCCATTTAAGATACACAGTTATGTACTGCATGTAGTAAGACACGTCAGTGAGTTACTTTCCCATCCTACTTGGCTTAAGCCAAACAGCACATTACCCAGTCTCTGTGCAGACCTAGTTGTGGCTTAACGGTCCAGGCTAGGAAGGGATTACACAACTGTCCGTCTAAAGGTGGAAGATGGGACATGGCCAAGTGAGCGACAACAGGGAACTGAGCGAATCCAGAGAGGGCAGATTGCTATAGAGTGAGCGTAAGGGTGAACCAAGGGCAAAGAGAAGTCAGGCTTGGGAGAAGGAATAATAAAACAGTCCTCACGCTAATCTGTCTCATCAGCTCTGGACCAGATCCCGGGGAGTTTCACCCTAACAGTCACTTGTCTGAAGCCCGCTTACAGCCTGGGCCCCTGGGCTGCAATTCCTCTGTGTGTATGTGTGTGTGTGTGTGTGTGTGTGTGTGTGATCAACAGTGGCTCCAGTCACCTCCAGTCTCAACTCTCCTAGCTGGCCTGTTAGGATTGTCAGGCCCCAAAGGCCTTCCTCTGTCAGCACCTGATCTCACAGCTCCTTTGTTCTCAGCACATCTAGCAAACCCCACACCTCAGAGCTGAGGGAATGAGACTGCTCCTTCCTTTCTCCTCCTCCTAAGTCATGTTTTAGGACTTGAGCATGCCTGGATCTTCTAGAGGTTTCTGGAAATGCAAATTACTAACCCCACCCCCAGTTTTGGAATCCTAGGTCTGGGTGGGCCCATGAGTCTGTTCCTTTCTTTCCTTCTTTCTTTCTTTTTTTCTTTCTTTGTTCTAAAACCTTTATTTTATGTGCATTGGTATGAAGGTGTTCGATCCGCTGGATCTACAGACTGTTGTGAACTGCCATGTGGATGCTGGGATTTGAACCCAGGTCCCGCAGGAAGAGCAATCAGTGCTCTTAACTGCTGAGCCATCTCTCCAGCCCCATGGGTCTGTTTCTTACTAATTCAGTTTCACATATTTCCTGGACACGTTGCAGCAGAGAATCAGTCTTTTGGCACTTGTGAGGCAAAGGCAGGCTCATTTCTGTGGGTTTGAGGCCAGCCTGGTGTGCATAGTGAGTTCCAGGCACGTCATGTCTGGCAGTGAACTGCTCTTGTACAATCCTTCCCTCAAACCCATCGCCCTCTTTCCCACCTTCAGCCTCAACTTCACCCACAGGCTACAGTCCTTGTCTTTCTGGTGACCCAGACTTGGTAGGCTTTATATCTACACCGTTTGCCTGATACTGAGCAGGAAATGAAGCTTCTGGGTTTATGTTTTGTGTTGTTTGTCTCTCAGCCTTACGCTATATGATCTTAAGTCCTGAGAATTTCATCTTAAAGCAGGCAAGGTGGTGGTACATGCCTGTAATCCCAGAATTTGGGTGATCTGGGCAGGAGGGTCAAGAGTTCAAGTTTTTCTTTAACAAAATCAAACAAAAGATAGTAGTTGGTCAGTCCTTCAGCTCTCTCGAACCTTCCAGCTGTCTTAGAGAGCTCATGTCCCCTCCCTAGGATCACAGTTTTGCCCTCCCAGGCTCACCCTTCATCCTGCAGCTGCAGGGACCCATTTTGCAACGAGAATCACTTTCTCTCCTAAAATCATCTCTGTCCCCGAGCTTCCAAGGCTGAGTTCAAGGGTCCCAGCCTATACACCAGGACTTTCAGATGCTGGCCTGACTTCATTGTCTCAATGCCCATCACTTTGCCATCTTAAATCCTTTATCTGTTTTTATCCACAAAGAAATCATTCTTGGTGAGGGCCCAACATTGGAAAAACATCTGAATAACTTTTTGACAGGCTCTCATATAGTTCAGGTTGGCCTCCAACTGTCTATGTAGCTGAGGATGACTTTGAACTCCTGATTTCCTTCCTCTTTCTACCTCCTGTGCTGGGATTATTGGTGTGTACCACCGCAGCTAGTACCACTAACACACCTAGTGCTCCTGAACCAAGGGTCTCACTTACTAGTTGAGCCACAGTCCCCATTTTTAATTTTTGAAAATTTTTTATTAAAATGTTGTGGTGGAAGCTCCACCTCAGCCTCTGGAATCCATATACTCAGAGTCTGGAATGTTCTGCTGAAAGTTCCACCTCAATCCCCCTCCCCCATCTCTCTCTCCCCAAACTCTGCCTCAGAAAAGCCCGCCAAACACGGCTCCTCCCCCAGAGATGCTCAGGACCGGCTCCCACTGCCCCCCCCCAAAACAGACACGTGGTTTTTCAGTCTCTCTTCCCAGTCTCCTCTCTGGGGTGCTGGAAAGGCATCTGGGAGCATTTTGCCCATTAAGCCTGGTGCTTTTCTAATTCGGTTTGAGTTGGTTGATTCGGATTGTTGCATCAGTCAGCGGGGAGGCTTAATGGGAAACAGAAACTTTTCATAAAACTTTGCTACTCTCACCAGCCAGGTCTTAATGATAGAGCACTTGACCAATGTTTGTGGTCCTGAGTTCCAACTCAACAAAGAAAATCGTCAAAAATGAGCAAACCAGGCTGGAAGGATGTCTTAGTGGGTAAAGGTGCTTGCCCCTAGCCTGTCATCTGTAGACCCCTAAGCCCCGCGAGGTAGAAAGAACCGACTCATACAGCTTGTCTTCTGCCTGTCACACAAGTGTGAAATACACAATAGGTAAATGAATAAGTGAATAAAGTAAAACAATTTTAGTGAATAACGAGCTCCCCGCAACCCCGACCATTTCTGTAAACACTGTGTTTTGTTTGATCCTTTATTTTTCCTTTAAAAAGTTGTTCTTAGACAGTCTTGTAAGTGAGTACGGTGCACTCTGCCCTCTCTACCTTACTACCTTTCTCCCACCCGTCAACTACCCTCCTCCCCCAGCAAGTCCCCTTCTCGGGTGTTTGGTTGTTTCCTGACTCACCGAGTTTAACTAGGGCAGCCGCAGCACGGGTCTGGAGCTATGCAAGGCATGGGCAACACATAGCTACTATACTGCGGATGACTGACTGCCCCTCTGCCATCCACTACCCATAATGCCTCAGGGAGAGGCAGGGCCATGGGCTCCTGAGCTCCTGCCCATCCATGACTTGTGTAGGCCGAGTGGTTTAAAGTTGACAGAGGCCTGGGCTTTCTACCGCTCTTGGTGTTGGAGCTTCTTTGCTTTTGGCAAACAGGCAGCAGATGCCACAAAACCCATACAAAGGGCTGAGGCTCCAGTTCAGTGACAAAGCTCTTGCCTAGCAGGTGCAAGGGGCTGGGTTGCATCCCTGGTGCCACAAAATGAATGAGGAAGCCAGATGCAGCCTGGGTGCAAGGTCCACCTGTAAACATGTTAGGTATTTGAAACTTAAGTTGTCAGGATTGGGAGAGTGAATCAGTAACAGAACACTTCCCTGCATGTGGGAATCTTTAAGTTCAAGGCCCACTACAGGGGCCAAGAACATTTTTTTTTTTAAATATCAATAAAAGTGATACAGTTTATAGGTGAAATAAAGCTATCTAGAAATAGTTTGCCAAAGTTTCTGAACCTGGACCTAAGTGTGTGTGTACATATGTCTATATTATTTTATTTACAATAAATGAAATTGTCAGACTGTTTACTTTTACTTTTTTTTCATTTATTTAATTTATGTATATGAATGGTTTTTTTTTGGGGGGTGGTTTGTTTGTTTGTTTGTTTTGGTTTTTCAAGACAGGGTTTCTCTGTATTGCTTTGGAGCCTGTCCTGGAACTCACAGAGCTCTGCCTGCCTCTGCCTCCTCAGTGCTGTGGCTAAAGGCATGCCACCACTGCCCAGCTGTGCATGAATGTTTTGCTTCCATGGTGCCTGTGCACCAGTGTCTACCTGGTATTATTGGACTGAGTTCTAGACAGGCCACCAGTGAGTGCTGGGAACTGGACCCAGGTACTCTAAAAGGGCAGCCAGTGTTCTTAATGACTGGGCCATGGCTCCAGCCAATGTTTATAACTTTAAAATCCAAGTCTAACCAGGACAGAGATCTAAACTAGAAAGATGTTTCTCTATCAGAATCCAATATCTTCTTTTATGAGCTACTTGTCCAAAGCTCCAAATAATTATCAAAGCAACAAAACCCATTCATAATGTTGTCTCTCAAGACTAGATTTGTATGTGTTGGAGTTAGCATGTGTGGGGGCAGCTTACTCCAGGGATCCCCAGTGCTGGGCTTACAGATGCCTTCCTGGTTTTAAGAGAGGTCTGGGAGTCCAAACTCCAGACCTCACATTTGCATGGTAAACATCTTATCCACTGACCAGTTCAAAAGGAGGTATTTCTTAACAAAGAGATCAGAACAGAAATAATTACTTTTTTTTTTCTTTTGAGACAAGGTTTCTCTGTGTAACTTCTCTGGAGTCTGACCTGGTACTCACTCTGTAGATCAGGCTGGCCTTGAACTCACAGTCTGTCTCTCTGCTTCCTGAGTGTTGGGATTAAAGGTGTGCACCATCACCTGGCTATAATTACTTTTGTTTAAAGACTAGTGGGTTTCCCACCTTTGAGATAGGGTCTCATACACGTAGGTTAGGCTTTAATTTGCTATGTAGCTGAGGTGGTCTTGAATTCTCTCTCCCTCTCTCTCTTTTATTAAAAATATATTTTATGTGTATGGGTGTTTGCCTGCATGTATGTGTGTGCCACCTGGGTGCCTGGAGCCTGCTGGGATCAGAAGAAGCCATTGCATCCCCTGGGACTTGAGTTACAGATGGAACCACCATGTGGGTGATAGGAATTGAACCTGGGTCCTCCATAGGAGCAACATGTGACCTCAACTGCTAAACCAACTCTCCAGCCCCTTTAGTTTTACTTTGTTTGTTTGTTTGTTTTTTTGGGACAGCCTTGGCTGTCCTGGACTGGCTCTGTAGTCCAGGATGGCCTCGAACTCACAGAGATCCACTTGCCTCTGTCTCCTGAGTGCTGGGATTAAAGGTATATACCACCACCACCTGATCAGTAGTTTTACTTTTAAGATGTGGTCTTACTATGTAGTCCTGGCTGACTTTGAACTCATGGTCCTCTTGCCTCAGTCCCCTAAGACTACACATGTGTGTCTCTGTGCCAGCATAGGAGATTAGAACTCTTCATGGGAGTGCCCGAAACTGTAGTTTGTGTTTGACAGCCATGAATATACTTTTTTCCTGTGGGAATGTAATATGCTGCTATTGTTTAGAATGTGAAAATTGCACAGGCTTAATTTAGCACAGGCTTTTGTGGTACAGTACTGAAGGGTACCTGCTTAATGTGTGTCAATAAGGTTCTTGGGGTAGGTTATAAACATCCTGAGGAAGAGAGAGCTCTTGTTTGCTCCAGGCCCAAGAAATGTCTTAAGGCTAATGATTTCTACCTTCTCCAGCCCCTGCCATTTTTGCAGATTCAGATCCTCAGTGACTCAAGCTGGTCAACTTCAGCAAGGCCACAATGTACCAAGGAATCTCTGTTAGGCATTTGCTCCTAGTGTTGCAGCTGGGTAAGTTCTCAGACTTGAGGACCAGCAGCAGATGGTGCAGGAGGTGGGTGGATGGGAGAACTCGAAAGGCGGGGCCCAGAGGGAGCCAGCAGTAACACTGACCTTTTCTGTCCAGCACAACTCCCAGCTGTCACTCAAGGGAAGAGTGAGTTTCTGAGCAGAGAAGGGGCTTCGATAGAGCTGCCATGCGAAGGTTCCCAGAGGAAGAACATGTTTTTCATCTGGAAGCTCTCGGACCAGACGATGATTCTGGGAAATCAGAATAACTTTGTGACTAGAGGTAGGATCCCTTGGCCCCCACCCAGGGAGGAAAACAGTGAGCTGAATGAACTTGCTGTGGGAAAACTGTTCCTAGGAAGTCCAATATTTCATGGTGGCTAGGGTTGACAAAATCTCAGTGGCCCTCTATTTCTGGGATTTCCTTTTTCCAGCAGGTGATGACAAATGGCTTCTGGTAGAATCTTTTTATTGTTTTCTGTTAATATTCATGGCTTTAATGGGCATTGGAAAGATCACCATATAAAGTATATGATTTCAAGAGTACTATTACTACAGACCATGAAGAGGATATGATACTTTGTTTACTCTCATTAAAAGCAACAGCTAGTGATATAGAGTGCTTGCCTAGAACATCTAAGGGCCTAGGATTGATTCCCCAGCAAAAACAACAAAAGAAAAAACAAAACCAAAGCCAAGTAGTGGTGGTGTACACCTTTAATTGCAGCACTCAGGAGGTGGAGGCAGACAGATTTCAGTGAGTTGAAGGCTAGCCTGGTCTATAAAGCTAGCTTGAGGACAGCCAGAGCTACACAGAGAAACCCTGTCTCATAAAAACCAAACCAAAAAACACTCTCAAAACAAAAAAAACAAAGCCACCAATGAATAAATAAATTCATGTCCTGTGATCCTAGCATTAGGAGGCTAAGGCAAGAAGATGGTAAGTTCTGGGGTCATACACCAAGACTGTTTCAAAAACAAATAACAATTTATTTAATCAATCTTAAAAGTGAACACACTCTTAGTAAGTTCCAGGACAGCTAGGACTACGTAGGGAAACCCTGTCTTGAAAATAATAAAACAAACAAACAAACAAATAAAAAAAATCCACCAATAACAAAAAACTGAACACATTCTACAGTAGATTTGGCTAAAGTATGTGTGATGTCTCTGAATGGCTGGTTTGGGAAATAGCCTCTAAATAGGCAGCTTGAGGTGGAGGAAGGGAGGGTGCTCTAGGAAGCTGTATTCTAGGCAATCAGATTCTGCTTGCTATCTAGACAGGCATTTTAAAGATGGCTCTATAGTCCTCTATGTATTAATGTGTGTGCTTGGGCTGCCGAGATAGCTCAGCAGGTTAAAGGTGCTGCTACCACATCTGATAACCTGACTTTCATTTCATGACCCACCTGGTCCATGGCATGTCTTCTGACCCCCACATGTGCTCTGTGGCATGTGTGGGTAAGCACTATCATACACTCTCTGAATAAAATAGTAAATGTAATAAAAAAACATTTAAAATACCTGTAATTACCCAAGGAGATATGTATTTCTAGCTCATTTCTTTTCCATCACCTTAATTCCTTATTCAACTTTACTATGATTTGCTTGACTAATTCCATACTGTTGGACATTTAGGCTCTTTTCAGGGAATAATTTTGTGTTTTTGAGCAAATTTTTTCTTGGGCGGGGGTTGGAGGGGGAGTTGAAACAGGGTTTCTCTGTGTTGCCCCTCTGCATGCCAGGCTAGCCTTGAACTTACAGAGGTCCACCTGTCTATGCCTCCCGAGTGCTGGAATTAAAGGGATACAGCATCTGCCTGAGGAGGGTGGAAAAGGATGTCAGGTTCATTGGAACCGGAGTTCAAATAGTCACAAGCCTCAGATAGAGAGTTCAATGGTCTTACCTGCTGAGCCATTTCTCAAACCCCAAATATCTTATTTTATTTTGTATGTATGTGTGAGGGTACTTGCTCAGAGACAGACTTACTCAGTAATCCAGACTGGTCCCAAACTCCCAATAATCCTACTACTAGAATTACAGTCATAGCCTACCAATCTGGCTTTCAAAAAGTCTTATTTCTATAGGCATGGTGGTACATACTTTTAATCCTAGCATTTGGTAGATCTCTGAGTTTGAGGCCAGCCTAGCCTACATAGCAAGCTATAGGACAGCCAGGGCTACATAGTGAGTCCCTGTCTCAAAAGAAAACAAATGAAAATACATCCCCCACACAAATTTTATCTCATTCCTAAAGACTAACAACCCCCCTCCCCGTTCCTCATCAGATGCCTTTCAAGTTCGACATGAGTGTTACCTCATTCAGTGGGTTTGAATTCATTCAGAGACAAACGTTCTCTTTAGCTATGAGCCCATGAAACTAGACAAGTTAAGTGCTTCTAAAATAGAATGATGGACAGATAAAGGCTAGCCTCTTTATCCCCAAAGAAGAAATTGAGGAAGTCCAGACCTTGGCAGGTAAGATCCATCAGAGCTTTTCTTTTTTCCTTTGATTTTTGAGACAGGTTTCTCTGTGTTTCTGGCTGTCCTGGAAGTCACTATGTGGACCAGACTGGCCTCAAACTAACTGATCTGCATGCCTTTGCCTCCAGACAGTCATGTGCTGGGAGAGGCCTGCACCATCATCCTTGGGCTCATTAGATCTTAAAGGTCAGCATAATCTGCTTCTGGGTTAGATTTGCAGCCAGGACTCTGCTGGGTGGAGTCTTGTCCCCATGGCAGAGGCCAGATGGCCTGTTGAAACAGATAATGGCTCTGAGGAACCCCAAGCCACTCACTGGTAGCGATGTTTCCTCCTCTTGAAAACAGCCCATGTTTATCCCTAAGTAGCTCTGCTGCCTGCCCTTCAAATCAATGAGTCCACAGCCTTCCCTTATTTCATTCCTACCAGTTAGTTCAAGACAGCAGTGTTTCTGCCCATATAATCCCATGAACACTTGCTGACTAGAACACATTTCCTCATGTTTAGAATATGAGTGGAATAATCATTTTCCAAGTCTTTTTTTGTTGTTGTTTGTTTGTTTTGTTTTCTGAGACAGGGTTTCTCTGTAGCTTTAGAGCCTGTCCTGGAATTCACTCTGTAGATCAGACTGGCCTTGAACTCACAGAGATCCCCCTGTCCCTGCCTCCCGGGTGCTAGGATTAAAAGCGTGCACCACAATTTTCCAAATCTATAAGACTGGGTCTTTTTTGCTTAGAAATTTCTTCAGCTAAATATTCCATTTCATTATTTGCAAATTCTACCCATACAAAACAGTAGAAAATTAGCACAGTTTAGCCAAGTCTTTTGTCACTGTGTAGTAAGAATCCAGTTTCCAACATCACATGCCTCACTTCTTTGTAGACCTGGAGCCCAAGGCCGTCAGTTTATGGAGTGGACACAGACAAGAAATGGAACGCAGTGAAAGGCAGCCTTCACTCACTAACGACTAGAGAAGGGAAAATTGAGGAAGGCAAAAGGCTCTTAGATAATTATTGCACTTCAGCCAAACATCACAGGGAATCCTGCCCTGTTCCCTAATGCAAGCCAACACTGAGCAAGGAGGCACACTTCCTCCTTTTGAGAGTGGAATGGAGTGCTCAAACACCTCTACTGGGCTGGTGCCCTAGAAGGTGAAGTTGAGAGCTCCCTGTTCATCCATGCCAGCCTGCCATAGGCTTCGGCACTATTGGAGAGTGTTAGAAGAGTCTGGGTACTCGGTTGGGAACATCAGTTCCTGCAGGAGTGATGTCAGACGAGGGCCTGGTGGACAGTTGGAATTTCCATCATCACCCAGCATCAATGAGACCACCACACTGCAGTATGGACAGAGACCAGAGCGCAGGCTGGCGTTTCTGCTCAGCCCAGTGGTAATGAGGGGCATGCTCCTCTGGGTCAACAGATGATGGGAGGAATTTGGATTCCTGCTTCCACCTGCAGTAATATGGAGGTACCTCACCTTCCCTGAACAAATATCATCCAAAAGAAGTCAGTCAAAATGAAAAGTTTAATACAAGCTACAAATCTTTTTTTGTATTGTTTTGTTTTGGTTTTTTGAGGCAGGTTCTCTCTATGTAGCTCTGACTGTCCTGAAACTTGCTATGAAGATCAGGCTGGCCACAAACTCTCAGAGCTGAGCCTGCCTCTGCTTCCCAAGTGCTGGGATTAAAGGCGTGAGCAGCACACCCAGAACAATACAAACTCTTAAAGAAACCAATAACAAAGTACTTACAATACAGAACTCAAATCTCTAAATATCCAAACTGCCTTTCTCCCTTGCCTCCTCCCTTCCTTCCTTCCTTGATTTTCCTCCCCTCCTTACACACACACACACACACACACACACACACACACACACACACTGATTTTTTTAAATATTCAATCAAACTCTAGGAAGGCAAGAAAAAGAATTCTGAAACATGGGGCTGATGAATGTAGCTTGGTTGGAAGAGTGCCTTCCTGGCACACTGGAAACCCTGGCACAGACCCCTGGCATCCCATAAGCTGGGCCTGAGAGGCTTAACACCAGGACTTGAGATATGGAGCAAAAGGATCAGAAGTCCAAGATCATTCTTAGCTGCATAGGGAGTCTGGGGTCAGCCTGGGCTACAGTACACCATATCACGAAACAAATCAAACAAACAAACAAAAAACAGTAACAGGCACAGCTCTAATAAATTAGCAATGACATTAGGTATAAATGGTTTTCACACATTACAATAGTCTATATGCATTGTAAGAGTCTGCATACATTATAACAATCTACACACATTGTAACAGTGTACACACATTTTTAAAAGTCTATATACATCATAACAATCTATACACATTATAACAATCTATACACATTGTAAAATGTGTACATACTTTGTAACAGTCTGTATACTGTATACATTATAACAGTCTATAGATATAATGGTCTAAACCACATAGTTGTTCAAGTACATTATCATCATCATCATCATTATTATTATCTATTTAGGACAAAGTCTCACTATGTGGCCCAAGCTGGCCTGGAACTCACCATGTAGACTAGTCTGAACTTGATCTCACAGAAATCATCCCTGCCTCTGCCTACTGAGTGTTGAGATTAAAGCTATGTCCCACCACACCTGACCATTATTTCTATTTATATATTTGCTTATTTGGGGCTGTGTTAGACTTTGAATCTAGGGTTTCCCATGTAGGGCAAGTGCCCTACCATTGAGTTTCATTTCCAGCCTTCAAACTTTTATTAATAGAGAGGTCAAGAGCAGGCTGTAGCTCAGTGGTAGAGTGAAGCC